TTCCACTGGTAGCCGCAGCAGTGCTCCCAGTTCTTATGAGAGTGGTCGACTGAACTGTGATCACTGCTTTACCAGTCTTCAGCCATCGACTAATTCATTCACTTCTGCCTCGTTTCTAAACTTTCAAAATAGAATGCGTTTTTTTTTGTTTGGCAGTTAGATAAAAGAAAAAACTTCTGCTATTAAACCGCTTGATTAAACAGTCATATGAACGATATCAAAATTTCCTTTAAAATTATAATCTGAATATGGCCAGTATGAGGACTTAAACACTGTCAGCATTTAATCGCTCATGAAATTTTTGCAGTTTTTTGATTAAGTAAAAAAGTTTATCAGTTAAATGTTACATAAAATTTAAATTTTTGGTAAATGCTTTTTTTTTATTAATAAAAAAACTGATCAAAATAGACATTTCTTCTAGAAAATTTTCATATGTTTCCATTTTAAAGAAAACATTCACAAGTTTTTTTACCACATTCTGTTGCAGGGTTTAAATTTAAAAGAAAATTTTAAGCCCTTCATCAAAAGTGTGAAAGTAATCAAATGTGTTGTAGAAAAAAAGGAAAAAAGTTTGGTTTAAGTTGATAATTTTTGCAATCCGTCAGTCAGTTGTTGCTATTTGAAAAAGCAACTAGTGTCTATTGGTATAACGTTAAACAATCTTTTTGCACCCTAAAATAGAGCAAAAATTTCTAATTCAATAGCCTCTTCGCCGATATATATCATACCCGGACCAATAATAAATAAGCGATAAGAAAATAAGTTTACGACCTGAAATACAATTTTTAATCTATTCTGCGTCACGGACCTTTGCCGCGCTTCCATATATCAGTGAAAAATCCTACACAACTACTACACCAAATAACTGCTTTTTCCTGCACCATCTGTTCTGCTTCTTTAATTTTCTAAGGCTTACTGGAATTGAGCATGTCCTCAAAATAGATAAAATTGAAACCGTTCGGCATTCATTTACAATTTATCGACAAAATACGAAGGCGACAATGCCGGTTGTTCTTATAAATACTAAAAAACTATAGACTTTAATAAGCATAAAGTGTTGTAAATGTTTATTTTTGCTCACTCCGTATCATTCGGACAAATCCATAGAAATCCCCCCGAACAACCACAAAAACCATGTTGATATAATAGGGAGGAAGAAAGCCACTATACTGTCTGTGTGCTTATCCGGGTATCAGTCGGTCTGACAAACATCAAACGACAAAGCTTAAGCACCACCAACAAGCGTAAATATAACAGAAGCAATATCAATTTCTTAACAGTTAAAAAAATTTATTTGTCAAAAAACAAGTAATTAGAGAATTTTTATAAGTTTCCTTAATAAAGAAAAAAGAACAAAAAACAAAAAACCAATAACAGAAAGTTCTTGAGATATTTTTTAATTTATAGTTATCATAAAAGTATTTCACAACAACAAAAAAAACTATGATCAATTCAGAAGTTTTAGAGTTAAATACAGCAAACGTATAGTTGGTTTTATTTTTTAAACTGTACAACACAATACAACAGGAAAAAAAAAAATAAATAAGTGATCGAGAAAATTGTTAAATTAAGAACAGAAATTTTGTGCTAAAATAAGATTTACCAGTTACAGCTCAATTAATTTAATACAATCAGAAATTTCACTGATTTACTGTGTTTCACCATAACTGACGAGTAGCAGTTGAAACCGTTTTATTCTTGGCTATTTCCTCAAAACTTAGTCTTATACAGTTTGAAGTTTTGAGAAGAAAAAAACAACTTTTTCTTATTCCTACTATCGAGCAGTAAAATACAGCCTATGCACAATAAACAGTGACTATCAAACAATAATTTTTTGTAATTTGTAAAAATAAAACTTAACTTTGCAAGATAAAACTTTGCACTTTGCAATAAAACTTTGCAAGATAAATTTTGATCAGTAACAACAGGTTTTTTCACTCCAAATCCTCCTCAGCCTCTTTTCAGATGACTAATGCTCACTAGTTGGTATTAAGATTTTTATAGTAATTGAACAAAATCTAATTGACGAGTTCAACAATGCTTGGTAATTGCTTCTTAACCTACGTATTTTTTATATTTTCTAGAAAAGTGTTTTGTAGCATCCTGACAGATTTATTTTAGCCAGAATCCGACGTTTTCTTTGTTATTGTACAATGTAACTTAAAAGGCACAAACACTATACCTTTTCATACAATATCCTGGCAGCTATGCTTAACTATTACTACAGTCAAATATCCAATATAATCTGTGCTTTTTTTTTAATGATACATCTAATCTGTTTTATGCATACAGAGAAAAGTGAACAGTAAAATGATGCATCACAAACGCCCGGAACTTCACTGTTCGGCTTCGCTTACCGATCGCAGCAATTTGTTCAAAGTAAGACAGTAGTCGATAAACCGTTGTCTTGTATTAAATAAATGCACATAGAACTTATACTGAAATGGTTTTAGAGTTAACATTGGACAATTTGATAAAGTGTTAGTAATTTTAAGTCAAAAAGACTACAAAAATTTGAGGAAAAAATTGACAATAACGAGTTAAAAGTAACTGTAGTTTATCCCACCAAAAAATCTTTATCAAATTCCAAACAACACTTTTCAAACAGCTAAAAAAAATAAAATCTTGATAATTTTAAAAAAAACAGCCGTGATTCTAAACAAATGTTTTGCTTTTCAATCATAATTTAGAAGTAAAAAAACTATTGAAAAATAGACAACAAAAAAAAAAACGATAACAAAAAAAACAAAAAAATTTTTTGTACACGTCGATGCAGTTTCTGTTAAAACTATTAAAATGATACTAAGAATAGGTGAACACTAGAATAAATAAATAAATAAACAAATAAATAAATGAAGAGCATTAAGAAGAAATCTTTCCTCCTACATCT